CCCGGATGACCCTACGCGAAAAACCAAGGCCCTGCTGCAGTGAGTCTCTAACTCAAGCAGATTCTAGGCTTTAAAACTGTAGGGCAGATGTTTAAACTCTGAGTGCCACTTTCAGGATGGTCCAGCAGTTTGGAGTGGACTTTGAGAAGTGCATTGAGGGCTCCGGAGACCAGGTGGACACGGCAGAGCTGTCCGGAGGTGCCAGGATTAACCGAATTTTCCATGAGCGCTTCCCATTTGAGCTGGTGAAGGTAAATGCCTCTTTTCAACAGAATGCTTAGTTTTGTCTGCTTTTGAGCTGATAAAGTTGGTCTGAATGTCTGGAAATACTACTTTGATCTTTAGATAACAAGTCCCAACAAGCTCCCGGGGAACCCGGTATGCTGCACAGGTGCAGTGGCAAGTCCCTGTTATGAAGTCTCTCTTTCTCTTTCAGATTGTGTTTGACGAGAAGGAGCTCCGGAGAGAAATCAGTCATGCCATTAAGAACGTCCATGGCGTCAGGCAAGTGGTGTCCCATTGATGGCAAGCACTTTGCAACCCTGCAGGCCATATGGTGGCACAATAGCAACGGCACTTCTTATGTCCTCTGTTCACTGACTAATACCTCACTCTTTCACTCCAGTCACACACTTTCTTTCTTTTTCTCTCTCGTGTGTTATAGTAAGGCCATGCTTTCACAACACAGCTACTAGAATCGCTTTACAGCTCACGTTTTTTCTTGTTATCTGTCTTGTATATATCGGTAATAGTGGCGTTTTTTCTGCATGTCACCAGCCTTTTCACAATACCGTATTGTCAGTCACATCGGTTCAAAATTTCATTTTTTAGATTAAAAAAGTCATTCATCAGGCACTTTTAAAAAAAATTCCATTCAGAAATCATGTAAAATAGTGGTAAATACAATTAAACGTTTACAAACATTATGAACACTATAAATGTATTTTAGTTTCCCTCACTTAAATCCTTTAACAGTATTCAGAACAGAACAGGAATAGAAAATAAAAAAAAGTATAAAACGGTCATATATTGTAGTGGCATTCATTATAAACAACATTTATGATTAAAGACAAGCTGAAATCAATTTATTTGAAGTGAAACTGAAACTACCGGCGGGTGGGAAATGCGCTTTATAAATAAACCTGAGCTCATATGAGCTCATCTCATTCGGCACAAATCCAAATCCATGTTTTGCTTGCTTGACAGTAAGTGCATTATATAAGACATGTTGGAATATATGTCAGATGAAAAAAAAAGTACATAAGATATATCATTATATAGTAAATATAATCAAGTACATTTTAATAGGAACATTTGATCATACAGTTTTTTGTATTTTT